CTAACTTGGCAACAAGATACTCACCCTTCCATGCAAAACCAGGTTGAATGTGGTATCCCAAAAAGATTCCATCATTTGCTGTTGGTGATGTCTTTCCAGATGTGTTGTCAACCCTTTTTGGATTGTTCCAAAACAGTATCTTTGCACCGAAAGGAATCAACTGACCTGGAAAATCTTCTTCGAATCTGAGTTTCCATGGGGCATCATCACCGTTGAGCTGTGGCGTGGCATTCACTGCCATGGAGAAATGCTGCATAGCCATAGGCCAATACTGCAATGGAAGACCTGACTGCACGAGGTTTGTGCGTGTGCCTTCAAGCATGTGCCTGATCTCCCTCTCCACAAACGACTTTGAGCTGTCCACGTACTCTGTTGATGTTTGATGTCTGTACCCCAACTCTGAAATTGTAGCAATAAGCTCTCGTGAATTGTCAGTGTAAACTGCCCCAACTTCATCCTTGTGAGATAAGAAGTGGTTGAAAGCATTAACACATGATTCACTCGATTTTGTCTGACTTGGATAGACGTGTCTGAACTGAGTGTGAATGTCCTTCATCACCAATGCCACTGTTTCACCTTTGACGCCTTCTTCCACATTGGATTTGATTACAGTATGGTCAGCGACAATGTGATCCCCAAAACTTTTGGTTTCCAACCTTTTCTGTCCCCCTTTCTTCTTTGCGGGTGGCGCCATCATGCGCGCCTTCTGACAGATTTTGCAAAATGGATTCTTGGGGTAATGGCAAAACTGGTGAGACTTGCTGCATGCCTCTTGCTCAAGGTCAGATGCCTTTCTAGACCTGACGTATTCGGTTTCGCTATCATGAGCTACTCCCTCATCCACGCCTTCTTCATCGGCACCCTCTGCTTTTGCAGCAACCATTGCAAAAAGACGTAACAGATCACAATCCTTCTTGAACTGTCCACTGTTCAAAACACGACAAGAGCTATCAATAACTGGCACACGGCCATCTACGTTAAGCTCAATGACTCCCATGTCCGGACGAATGAAGTAAGGCCTTCCATCAGCTGGTCACACAAAACTGTAACCTTGTTCCATACACCTGACACCAACCGAAAGAACAGCAGGAGTTTCTTCGAGGATGTATGGTGAGAATGGCTGATGTAGGGCATCGACTTTTACGTCGGCCACCTCATCCGCTCGTGTCGAACCGTTCGCTGTAGCAAGGCTGATTGGGGTATCGCTGACACGGCGGTTTGTCGCCTTTGCAGTCTTCAGCATACCCTCACTAATCAAATCCTGTTCACTGCCCGTGTCAACCAACCAAACACATCCATCTTTTGATGCCGGTGTAGCAACAGTGGGCAAATGAGTGTTACTGACTTTGTTCTTGGGACCAATCATTGCTCTACAGTGGTTGCATGATACTCCCCCTTCTGGGTCATTGCATCGGAATCGGCATTTGGGCTGCGTCTCACTGCCGAAGAGCTTCACAAGTTCCTGCAACTGTCGGGCCGAAACCTGAGCACGGTGAGCCACGAGTTTGTCGGGTTTTGGCACTGACTCTGAATCAGGGAACGTCTTCTCATAGATTCGGGGTTTGTGCACTACCTTCCTCTGTTCACCTGTTGCTGGGACTTTGATGTATTCCACTTTTGATGAAAACACAATAGCTCTGTGGCATTGTTCTTTCATAGCCTCTGTACCTTTCGGCAAACCTTTTCCCTTTGCTATGCATGCATACCTTTGAGTAATGCATGGCGCAGCTTTTGCACTGGCCTTCTTCTTTGGTGCAGGGCTATTGGTGCGTTTTGGATCCTTTGTGGGTGCAGCTGCAACTTCATGTTTGTAAAAACACTTGTCACCACGACGACATTTGCCCTGTTGAAAGTAAGTGCATGGGATCTTGGCCATCTCTTCCTTCGACTTTCTGTTAGGGGAACCACTTCTGCTACCACCTTTGCCCTTACCCTTCCTTTTGGGGGTGCCAGATCTTGAGGAATCTTTGACATGCTTGTAGGGACAGTCTTTACCCTTTTCGCACTTGCCATCCCTGAATTTGTAGCATATTTTATCCCCTTTTCCGCTCTGGCTACGACCACGGGTTCGACCTCGGTCGCCCTTTCCTTTGCCGCGATCTTTGCCCCCCTGAGCGGGTGCAGCGGGCTGAGGCTTTTCGGTCTGTTTGTTCTTTTCAACGATTCTGTTTCTGTTTGAACGGAGTCTTTCCCTATCCAAAAGATCACGAATGTTTCTCAACAAGAATGCATAAGACTTTTGTTCTGACTTTTCAGGAGCTCTGTCAAATGCTTCGATGTCATACTTCATTAATTGACATTTTCGGATTTGTCTGAGTAAGATGTCTCTGAGAACCAAATCATCTGGCGGGGTTTCCATGCCGGCAATTGTGGCGTCCCATCGGTTCAGAAACCTTCTAAGGTCCTCCACAGATTCTCCAGTGCGAACGACTCCAAGTAGGTCCTCGACGCGGTAGAGACTGCCAGCTTCCTCAGACGTCCTGAAGTAATCTTCAAACATCAAAAGGACTCTCCTACCTCTGACTTGGATCCCTTTCTTTGACTTCTCATCTTTGAAGTTATGGATCTTTGTTGCTAAATCACCTTTGGCCGAGCGAGTTAACGCTGCCGAACGCTGCCGACAATTTGGTGTCAAGTGTGATAAACTTCCCAGGTTCCTGCAGCTTTTCCTCCAACTTTTCCCTAGGGGTTTTGTTGTCAAAGACTTCATTGAGCCAAAGCCAAGCCTCATCGGGTTTGTCGGAGCACGACTTCACTTCATCCCTGACATGATTACGCCAGTGACGATATGCTTCTGGGGCAGGCATGTCGTTCAGTTTGATAGTCTCTGCCTCTTTTGTTCGGGGCTTTTCACCATCTGAATCCTTTGAAGTCAGTCTAGTGATGAGATCTAGCAATTGTTGACCTGAAAGACCTAAGCCTGCTTCAGCTGCTTTCTTGCCAGGGTCGCTTGCTATGACTGTAGGACTGGGCACACTATGCTCTTGGTTTGCATCATCATCATTTTGTCTTTGAACTGGCAATGGTGCAAGTTTTGGAGGGGCTGCTGATCCGGCAGGGGTTGTTGAGAACAAGTTGCTCAACCTTTCCTTAGCGTCCATGGCTAAGCTACTCATACCAGTGTTTGGCATGGGTTCTGCTCCAGCCTTGGTACCGACCGCTGATTTTGGGGTCATGTACAAATCGACATTGTTCCCGCCTTGTGAATCATCAACTTCGACGGCTCTGTCGACATTGATTTCCGGGGCGCTGTACTTGTTGAGCTTCTCCATCAAATCCTCCACTTGTCCCTGCAATTGGAAGTTGAGTTCAGCAGCTTGGTTTTCCTGCCTACTGCATTCCTCTCTAATCTCCTGGATTACAGCTTGTTCCTCCTTCTTGAAACCTTCCATGCCATTCTTTGCATACTCCACTGTTTCGTCCACGATTCGTTTACAGTCTGCCTCGAGGCTACCTCTGAGTTCAGAAAACCTTTGTTCGTACTGGGCTGTAACATGGGCTACCTTTTGGTTGGCTCTTTGTTCAGCTTCCAGCGCAACTGCATTTGCAGCATTCTTTAGCGTTGCGTTTGCATCGCTAAGTTCCTGTCTCAGTTTTGCTACCTCATGCTCAGTTGCCGTTTGGGACACTGAATACTCTGACACTAGGTGCTCATGTCTACGATCAGCTTCTGCACGTTGATGGGCGATTTCGCTAAGGCAAATTCCCTCAAACTCTTGGTACAGTTGCTGGACCTTTTGTTCCATGAGATGTGTGTGCCTCTCCTCTGCCTCTTGCCTGAAAGCATCAATGTTACCTTCGTTGATGTAGGTAAGATTGTTTTGCACGAACTGGAAATAGGCTTGCACAGGCTGTGTGAAGAAACCTTCATCCACTGACATGGGCGTGGGGTTTGTCCCAGCCGGCAAGCTCTGTTGTGAACCAGTTGATGCAGCTACTGTTCCAGTCGACGGGACAAGGGCACCTCCACCTGTAGCGTCATGCGTTTTGTCCATGGCTTTAGAGACTACGGCTGATAACCTGTATTTTCAGGTTTCAGCTGGGGTTATGTTATAATCCCAAGTAGACTGATAAACCTAAACAACAGTGGGCAAAAACCGTTAAGCACCTGCGACTCACTCCTTTTTGCCTGAGCCGCAACAGCTACCAAGTACATGCTATATTACAGTGTGTTTTATGTGAGGTGATTTTACACTATATATATATATATATATATACGTATATTAACATATATATATATATAACTTGTTAGCATTGATAAGGGATGCGTAACTAGGTTTACTTTCTTAACTTTTATGTATGTTGTCATATTTTGATCGGCAATTTGTTTGCTGTAGGTAGTTTATTTTGAATCACCGTTTAGAGAAGCATAATTTTGCCAACAATAAAATTGTGATTCGTAAAAAATCTGAACACTAAGTTTAAAAGTTTTTTACAACAAAACAAAAAAAGGGTCAGCTCTGATGAACTGGTTAAATCTCGTAATTAAGATAAGTCTTACCCTCTGGTAAACAAACATAGCTATTGAAAATGGCCATTTATAGTGAATTTTTAATTTTTCCCATAAAGGATGGTGATTTTCCAATTTTTTGTATGTTTACCAGAGGGTAACTCAACAACAAGCAGCTTCCTATGATGGAAAAGCTACCAAAAAAGCATCGCATCGTATCAACCAGCGCTTGGGTCCGTGCTCAAATGGATCGGGGTGCCAGGCTTCCCATTCCATCCATTGGTGGCAACTAGCATTTTCCCACTCAAAACTGGCCATGAATTGTGAATACATCCAATTTTCAGATACACACACATCTCATATTAAGTAAGTAATATGTATTGTATTCATCACATATGTTTCATATCATTCCCTAAAAATCCCAACAAAGTCACCATGAAAGCCATAAATTCCAATACACTAATATCTTTTTCAACCAATTGTCTTGTGTTGGTCATACCCGATGAAACCCTAAAAAGTCCATTAAACCAACACCCTGAGCCGTCCGAACTCTGTCGCAGTGAAGCGTGGCCTCCAAAAAGGCTCAAGGCGCCGCGCCACCTGCGGCCTGCAGATCTTTCAAACAATGGGGAAACCACGGGCGGTTACACAAAAGCACAAGAAAAACATGGACAATGATGGAAAAAATTGGATGAGACAAAAAACTAAAAATCTCATAGAGTGAAAATTAAGGAGTTTTAAGCAATAAACAATTGGGAATCAAGGGCAGTGGTGATTTTGTCCCCAAGCAAGAACAACCATTTACATAAGTATGTGATATTATATAGGATGTAATTAACAACAAAGAAACGAAAAAACAAAAACCAAACTGAGATGCGGGATTTTAAGAAACTGTACAGAATCACAAACAAGTTGTGGTTCTACATGATTTACGAGCCAGTATAATCCATACTATTACTATGGCAACTTAAGTTTATTTCCGCATCAAACAGAAGGAATTCATGGAAGTCTATAGTCTATAGTCAACAACAACAGAAGCAGCAATTGCTTGAGTATGGGTCCAATTTCAAAACTAGTGGCAAGCAACATTGACCCAAGCAATCCCACACAGAGATATCGTTGCCATATTGTCACATCATTGAAGATATCACAGCCTCAAATTCGATTGCACCTGGTTGGTAGTATACCTCAAAACCTGTATTTTTCGCAAATAACAAGATTGCTCATCACTATCTATGCGTGCGGTGGGGGCCCCAAGTTAAAAGTTGGTCTGCAGTTGAACTTCCCCCATATTACCCTCTGGTAAACTAACATAACTACGGAAAATCACCATTTTGTATGGGAAAACTCACTATACATGGCCATCTTCAATAGCTGTGTTAAATTACCAGAGGGTATCTAGGCAATTTCATCACCAGAGTTGCAGATTCGTGTTTCCAAAAAGGCGGTCTGGGGGCCAACCCCCCGGACAGACATGGAAGACCTCCATCGCAAGACATTCCCATCTCTAACATCCAACCTCTCAGAGGAAAACAAGAAATCTGGGTGTAACCCAAGAGATACCCTCCGGTAAACTACCCATCTAACCTATGGAACATAGCGATTTTCTAGCTTATTTGCCTCTTAAAAAATGATGAATTTCCAGTTCGCAAACTGTTAGTTTACCAGAGAGTAAGTAACCCATGTTTTTCTTTACCCCCAATTGCCCAAGCCCCCCTGTTTGGCACGCCTTTCTCATAGGCACTCAGAAGGCTGTTGAGGGCAATGTCTTCTTGTTGCAGCCTGAACAGCGAGAGAAATCTTCCCAGCCTCGCGGGTATCTATGGAATGTCGGGGAATAGCTATGGTAATAACCTCCAGAAGTTGGGATGTAAATGTAAATCCTACAATTATGGTGCTTATACCTAAACTGCACACCGAAATACCAGATGGTGCCCTAAAATGTGAAGTGCTGGGAGTATACATATGTATTTAAACAATATAGATGTGTCTAATGGTTTTGTCATACATACACGTCCATTCCGGCTGAATTCCAGTCAAATTTTGAAATTATGTGAGACTGGTTGGTGGTATACCTTACCCTCTGAAAAATATTAGTCAGTTGGGATGATTACTCGCAATATATGGAAACAGTAAAAATGTTCCAAACCACCAACCAGGAGATCACTGTTCAAACAACAAAGTAACTTCAGGTAAGGTCTGTTATGCATTGGGCAGCTCGCTCCCCGCATAGCTTGCCAGCGGTCAGAATTTGCATCCCTCACACTTGGATACACCCCAACGATGTGCAAGACTCCATTCTCCTCCACTGAAACTGAGATAGACATGGATATGAACGTGTGATTTCCTTCGTAAAAATGGTCTACAATTAGTCTGGTTGGTGGTTTCAATCATCTTGAAAACTATTAGTCAGTTGGGAAGGATTATCCCATATATTATGGAAAAAAACATGTTCCAAACCACCATGAGTGATTTGTCCACATCTATCTCTATCCGGGCCGGGTGAGGTTCGTAGACTCCTGGTTTTTGACGCTGTTTTTTTCCACATGTCAACTCCCCAGAAATCTGACTCAACCTCTCCCTGCCAACACATCGTGTTGCGCAACACAATCCCAATGTTTGTTGATTCAATCATGGTTACTACCCTCTGGTAAACTAACATAACTATGGAAAATCACCATCTTTAATGGGAAAACTCATTATAAATTGCCATTTTCAATAGCTATGTTAGTTTACCAGAGGGTATCTCAAAAAAAAGGATTCACATTCAACAGTTTGGAGTCTGGATAGGGATATAACATGATATAACGTATCATTCATGGGGGGAAGCCTCTGGCAATCAAATGTGGTTTGATGCAAAATTAACCATTTAGTTTAGTAAACGATGATTGTCCAATAAAACCTCCATCTAGTTCGGTTGCCACGTTTGATTACCAGAGGGTATCCCCCATAAATGGTTGGTTATATCAGATTATATCATGCTCTACCCCCCAAAAAAAATATTTGATCCCATTCAACGATTTGGAGTTTTTTTTTTTTCGAGTGATATTTCACGTTAAGCATTTAAGGAGTTTATTTATGATATAGCGATCTCACTTCCATCGCCATATCCCCCTTTTTGTTGCTCCCTCGCTCCTGCCAGATCGCATCAGCTGAAAAAAATGAAGAGCACCTCAGAGTGGGAGCCCTGTCGGTTGATGATATGATGAGCACCTCAAAAAAGGCCCATCATTTTTAAGGGAGAAAAACAACCATCCAAATTGGGATATGGTATGTATATATATATATATATGTTTGATTGTATGTTACCATATATAATTAATAATAATTATATATCTGGGTAAATGAAATAAAAATTCACTATAACCTGAATTGATTAAGGCCATGAAAGGGGATGATTTCCCTTAATTACTAACCGTGATAAACCAGGGCTCGGGAGAACGACGGGTTCGGTCGTGATCAAATTTACCCAGATAATCCCAGATATGATGATTCGCAGGCATCACTTTTACACTTATGGCCATTTATCAGTTATAAGTACTTATAACTTTTACAGTTATGGCCATTTATCAGTTATAAGTACTTATAACTTTTACAGTTATGGCCATTTATCAGTTATAAGTACTAAGAAGTCACCCCATTTATAGAATGTTTCTCATCCCATAGAAATAACCAGTTATAACTGATAGCCATGGCCATAACTGTAGGAAGCCAAATCCAAGACATCCAAGTCTCCCAGACCTGACCTGGCCGCATGATACCACATTTGTTGGACGTCCATCCCCTCAAGATTTTCTATCGAAGAATCTTCGATGTCAACTGAGCAAAAAAAACATCTTTTTCTTCGCCGCGAATTTCACAAAATTCCTATTGGTTAAAAAACTGCATGTTTTCTCTTTTCCTATTTTTATACCCAGAACTGGGCCGTTTTTCTTGGTTGAACAAGCACATATTCATGGCCTTCTTAGATCTTCTCAGCTACCGAAGCCTGAACATGTTTTAAAACTATTGAAATCCCAAAATCCCTCATCCACGGCTCAAAGTCCAGGTTTTTGTACAGAATAGAGGAGGGCGAAAAACTCCAGTTGTCTTATCGCATCTGCCTGGATCGTTTGCTGCGATTCTGAAGCAAACAAAATGTAATCACTTCATTCAAGCTTGCTGGTATCCTGCAAACGGTTTAAGTGCCTTTTATTGAAACGAACAACTGTGGGAAACCCAATGGCACAAAACTATCATTCGTAGATGGTGTCTACAATCCATTTATGGTAATATTGGGGATTATTTATAATTGGGTTTACCACATTGTGTGGGAAATTGCATCTTGCTTGCCAAACGCACAATTTAAATTAAGTGTAGTTGTGGCTAAACAGAACCCTGCTGTAGATACAAGATGTGTAATGTGAATGATCGTTTTTTGCACATACATAAACAGGTGATTCGAACCTACCTGTGGAGCACAGCCCAAGTCTCAACACCTCACATGAAAGGGTTCCTTTCATAAACCCTCTTCAAGTCAGGTATGGGGTATGCTATAGGGTCTGTTGTTTTTTCCTACAACAACACATTCCAATTTTGTGGGTGTGTCTGAACATGGGGTGATACCCCAAACAAGTAACATTGTAGTGGGGGAAGTGCTGATGAAGGGATTTAGAGGGGCTCAATTTTCATGAAAACCCAAAAAATGTGTCCCCCCCGTTTTATAATCCTTTTAACTATAGTATACTATAGTTATATCCCGCATGAACCCTAGTCAGCCAAGTTATTACCCAACATATAGTTAAGTGTCATTAACTTATCTTAAGCTGGTTCGTTGGCTATATCCCAAGTCTTACCCCCAAAAATTAATCTCCATGACAGATATCCCGGATCCCCATTTTTATGTGTCCTGCCCTTTGAAAATTCTGCCAAAGGGCGCGGCCATTCCTTTCCCGCCACACTGATCTCGCAGGAAGAAATTACCTCAAATGGTGATCACGGACGACAGCTGCGTGTATATAGATATTGATTCGTGTCGTGTATGTCTATGTATATATATATAATAATAATTATATATAATTATCTCTATATATAATATGTGAACATGTTGTAAGTAACAAAAAATGATGCAATGTGTATGATATAATGTGTATATGTATATATATATATGTTCAAACAATGTTGTATAATGTAGATCCACCATAGCTATGTTTGTGGAGCACTTATCACAACACAAAATATCATAAAATCTCAGCCAGTGGTTGATAACCCATGAAAATCTGGTGCTATATCGAATCCATGTGTTGCCATTCATTGGCTTCCACTATGCTTGGAGGTTGCAATAAAAAACATCACCATATCACCATTTTTTTAGCTTACAAAAACAATCCTCTTGACATGGGCTGTTCCAAAAAACACCAACAAAACACGAAGCTCGATGCATCGATTGTGGGTTTAGGGTATTCCACAACCTGGGACTCCACGCATTGAAGTCAAAGAAGTCAGTGCAAAATGAACCACAAAAACCATCGCTTTTGGCAAGAATTGATCCTTCAAAATGTGAGTTCACCATGTGGACGCGTCACCCAAAAGTTTGAATCATAAAGCCGCTATTCTTTTTTCAACTTCGTAGTGGGACGCTGATTGTCAGGAAGTGGGTCCTGTCAATACCAATCATGGCTAAAATATATACTAAAATCATCTACCCTCTGGTTATTTAACATAGCCATGGAAAATGGCCCATTTATAGATGGTTTACGGTTTACCTATTAAAAATGGTGATTTTCCATGGCTATGTTAAATCACCAGATGGTAATTCGCATGGGAGCTACTTGCCAAACCTTCAGCTGCGTGATCATGGAATCCTGACTCCTTGAGGAAATAGACCACTGTTTGCTGCGGGGGAACAAATTCTTTCTGGAAAAACAATGACGTTTGCATCTGTACCTACTGTCCGCACTCATGTATCAAAAAAGGAATGGGCAAGGTGTACGCCACGCACCTACTTAGTTCATTCAATCTCACCTGGAGTTTGCCGCAGTTTTCCTGCCGGGGTGTTACTTCTTTTGTGGTTTTGCCACGAAACGGTGCTTGCGGTTGGCTTGCACAGAAGCAAGCCACTTCTCTCCGCCTGCTCTTTTCTTTTATCTAAAAGAACAGATTTAAGTAATTAAGTAATATCTTCTGGGTTTTGTGCCAAAGCAATTTTTTTTGGCGGCTAACGCTTTTTGCTCTACCCAAAACCGAATGGCGGGCAACACCTTCGGTCTGTTGGACTCACTCCAATGCAAGCTGATGAACAGAGCTGCTTGGTCAACGTTTTCCAAATCTAGTTCCTCTGGATCACAAGCTTCAACCTGAACTTCCTTGGCCAGATCTGAAGTTGCTGGCGCCACCCCTGCTGCACTCGCAGATTGTTTTTCAATGGGTTGTGTCTCTTCCGGTTTCTTGGAAGGTGTTTCTTCTGGTTTTCATCTCCTTCAAGATATCACTTACTTACCTACTTGAGACAAAAACACTTCTTCCTTGGGAGTCAGCTTTGCTTCAATCTCAGCGTTCTCCTTCCATCCGGCGAAGCCGCTGGGTTTCGCCAGACCACTTTTTTGGTTTGTACATCTTCATGGTACCCGAAATGGTAAACATACAAAAAACGAACTGGAAAATCACCATTTTGTATGGGAAAACTCACTATACATGGCCATTTTCAATAGCTATTTTGACACAACCAGAGGGTATATCCATCAATATCCCAGTATTATCTCATGATTATCCCATTATCATCCCTATAAAAGCATATTAAACCATAGTAAACCCATTAAACCCATTAAACCTCCATGAGTTAAATTACCAGAGGCTATCTTCCAGAAACTGGACGCAACCGAAAATACCTTCGCAGACATGGTCAAAGCACAACGGAAGTTTGGTGCCAGCAGCACGTGTAGAGCTGAACATATCATCTGACAGCCAACACGCTACATATATATATATATATATTATGTATATGTATATATATATATGTATGAATATATATATATATATATGTATATGTATATATATATATATGTATGTGTATATATATATATATTATGTACCACACAAATGGTTTTTTCCGGAAAATGGAGGGGGCACCGGACTACCCAACAATTGCAAACACGCTGATATCCCTGATTGGAATTTGGAATGTCTGATGTTCAGCAGAAAAATATCATATATAATCGGCAAAAAGGAGAACACATCAACAAACAAGTATATATGCATACATTGTAAAGTCATGCTCGTTCATGCTGATTCATCTGGCTACTGAAAAACACTATGGGACACAGTGGAAAAACAGGAACACAGGCAAAGTCAATCCCAAAAGGATGATAATGTAACTCCTTCTCATTTGATGTTGACGATGATGATGATGATGAGAATGATGATATACTATATACATTCGATGCATTCGGAAATAGTTGTGTACCTCTTCTTCGGCTGACTATCAACCCATCAGCGTTCTCCACCCTAAGGTTGCCGCCGTGCGCATAATGATGCTGTCGATCAACACCCTGTCCTGGATGCTGTGCCCTGGATGATGTTACTGAAAGGATATTATGAGATGATGCTGAGGACTTTCCTACTTTTATTGACATATTTCCCACTTGATTGGGATTCAAAAAGGGATACTCAAAGGTGCTGGTCAATCGAAGATCAGGAGTAGTGAAAAGGCCAAGCATATGATCACCACCACAACCACCACAAGCATCATCATCAGCACCAGCACCATCGCCATCATCATCATCATCATCATCATCGTCATCGTCATCATCATCGTCATCCTGGCACATGTAAGGGGAACCTCAGCATCAACAGCCAGAATTCTGTCGGGGGGCGTGTGTCTTTATTTGTTTTCACCGTTCTCCATGCTCCAACTCAATTAAAGGGTGGAAAGGGGAAACGACACTTCAAACATGAACAGCAGAACAAACAGGTAAGAACTCAACAGGATTCATAAAACTCAGGGAGGGTCCAAAAAACAACAGAATACTCCCATCCCCCTAATATTCAACACCCCATTTCTATGGTTCCTATGTGACAATTCCCAAGAAAAAACCATGGCTTTCTAAGGGTTGACTTGCTATAGAAGAATGGGAGCTCCCACTGGTGGCCTCAGGAACAATCCCAGATAGCCTGCAAAAAATGGAGCAAATTCTTAGCTGGTGAACGTAGATAGTCCCAGCCAGATATCCCAGCCAGATACCAAAAGACTAGTTAGGATTAGTTTGTAGCCATCTAAGATTGACCTAGTATCTTATTATAATCATTCTAAACATGATTTTAAGACAATGAAGAAACACATAGAAAACATCGTTTCCACAATAGGAGCCAACATTTGGGTAGCATCATTTTCCCCATTGAAATGGCCACGACTGGGGGTTGTTCATACCACATGTTGTTCCAATGTCGAGGTGGACCGACGTAAGGTCTGTAAGGTCGGTAAGATGCTATAAGTTGGCTAACCCCCATTGATTCTAGATTTTATCTACAAGATTCTACAAGTACTATACATATAGAATCTATATGAATACCTACTATTATATATGTATAAAATCTAGAGAATCTATATGTAATTATATTATATATCTACATATACTATAGTTCTAAATTTGGCTAATATATACCCTAGTTATGAACCAATTTAGCGATTCTATGATTCTATGACATCTGAGCCAAGATTCTACATCTTACGCTTGATCAGTTGCCAACTCCCATGCTTCCCCAATCATTCGCAAAATCTACTGATTGTATCACGAAGCAGCACATGTTTGGTTGGTTGAGACAGTTGAGACTCCAAGTTTTACAGCTGAACCGGCTGAACCTACCCGAAACACAGGCTCACAGAAACTAAAAAATGTAAACCAATCAACTTGTTGCTGAAACAATAAGCTAACACACTGACCATTGTCCCTTTTGCCGCTAAGAAACCTGCAGTGCCAGTGATAGGACAGCGAGACTGCCAGGCCAAATCATACCTTGATACCATTGGTACTCATAGACCCTGCCAAATAAGCGTTGAAAGACTACAAAAGGGGGTTCCTAAACTATCCTAAACTGGGGTTACTCCTAATCATCCATTTTTAAAAGGATTTTCCATCATAAAGCATCTGACTTGAGGATCACCCATTTGTGGAACCCCCCACATGGGGAGATAGTAAATTAAAGTATGAATGGTACCCCAAAGTCCGTTGACCGTCGGCCATCATGTTCCCATTGAAATGGCAAACAGCTCTGTTTTCGGAGATAGTCGCTTTTCAGGTGCATCCGTATATCCATGATTCATCATTATTCAATGGTGATTTTTGATTTTTGGTGCTAAATTCCTCATATTCCTCTATTTGGATGCGCAAAAATCTATACGATTTTGGTTGCTACACAACTTGGTGAACCCCCCCTCTGGATGGTCCCAATTTTTGGAGCCAACAGCTCTACCCATGGATAAAAAACACCCGAGCAACCGTGGATTCTAACCCTGTCATCCTTTGAAGGACATCGCTGTATGTGTTGACCATGAAAAGATATGGACAAAAAACACAGCATAGCACGATGAGTTACAAGAAGTGCAGGTTGTATCATCCACGTGCAAGTTAGTTTTAACTTTCTCAAAGTGAACCTCAGGTTGCTATGGTGATCTGCATTCCTGAACACTTCACCTTACATCTCCAAAAACGGCTTCATGTCACCCAAAACGGCGACAGAGTGCTACAGTAGTCTATTTGTTGGACATCTGCATGGCTTACAAAATGATGGCTGTCTTACAAACCAATGGAACGATGCGACTTTGAGAAACTCTGGAGCCATCCCCAAAACCTGAAACCCAAGCGACCGGTGGTGAAGCTATGGACCCATAGAAATAGAGAACTGATGGTTCACAATCCAATTCAAACTCGCCGTTATTTAGCTTCCGATGTGCATATATATATATATATAATGGTTTAGAATATACATATATATATATATACATATCATTGTCGACTTATACGTATAATAACAAAAATATGTACATATTCTATCAATACAATTCAACGCAGCTTGTGCTTAGTATTGTTATCACTACTATTGCGATGCATGTGTATATATATATATATTTATATCTAATGTATGTTGAAATTTCATTCCTGTAATATATGTATATACAGGTGTATATATATATATATATACATATCATACCTGATTGAATATAAATATACATACAAATATATAAATAATTAATTATATATATATATATACACAATATACACACTATGTATTATACCCTGAAAGTAATATACACATATGCAAAAAACGCATCCACATCCCAAGCTTTGAGCTGCTCCTCATCCTCATTTTCCCCGGCCACATACTTGCCAAGAAGCTGTGGCCACAAACATGGGCCTCAAACGGGAAAGGCAACGCAGTTTGGATCAAATACGGCATCCACCATACCACTATAGCATCCTATTAATGTTGCTGATTGTTGGGGACAGTTTGGGACGATTGACGTCGTAAATATATATTTGGGGGGTTGTTAGTATATTCAACGGATGGGTGCTGGCATGTGGAGAATTGGAGTGAATGGACTGGAATGAAAATGTTGAGAGGAACTACATTTGAGTGACTTGTTGGGAAGTGCCGGACTTCTTCCAAAATGGTTATTTGCACTTGGGAAACGTGGAACTGAGTCGCTCTTCTTTCATGAATGACGAGAGGCCTTCGTATCCCTAAAACCAGTCAATACCAGCCAAATGATCATCAATAGTTCAATGTTTAATCTCCAATTAAACTAACATAACTATGGAAGATCACCATTTTCGATGGGTAAATCCACTATAAATCACAATTTTCAATAGTTTTTTGTATGTTTACCAGAGGGTAATCTCGAATTAATTGCTCCACTCGTTCTTGATTCACATCAGCAAGTTTACAGTAATCGTTTCCCAAGCCATGCAGGTGCAACCATCCAATTTTCATGGTCAAAACCAACTTTTTGGTGATTAAGTGCCAATCTTCAATGGCTTTTATTGCCCAAGGAATTTTTATGCATCCCATTATATCATCAATCCTGTTAAATCACATTATCTACCATGATATCCCCAGTAAATACCATGCTATCCTCAGTAAATACCATGATATCTTCATTAAATCCCATTAAATCTCAATAAAACCAATAAATGTTCATTATATGAATCCCTTTTTCAATGGTTGTGGACCACCATCTATTTTTGAGCCATCAGACGCACGCACCAAGGTACAGTTGCACTGTAGGTCACCAGGTCGGGATTCAAGTGACCTGTGGGATATCGTGGCAGTGGCCACAGGTCTCGGGATGAGGGTTTTAGCCATATATATATATGATACATATATATTATAACCATGTGATGGTTTTTAGTCAACTACCCACATATGTATATATATATATGATTTAAGAGCCAGAAAAATCCGGGGGATATCGTGGTACAGTTTTTTCACACATGATTCACATGATACATAACTGGTTGGTGGTTGAGCCCTACCCCTCTGAAAAATATGAAAGTCAATGGGAAGGGTTATCCCATATATTATGGAAAATAAAACATGTTTGAAACCACCAACCAGTATATAATACATAATATATGATATTCATGATATTAATGTGATATATATATATATATATTATGGATATATAATGGCATGTAGAAGCAACAAGATTGACAAGATCATATCTATATAACTGAGATAATAACATTATATAGTAATGCTTAGGTACATTATATAGTAATAACATTAATAACTCAAAAAATATAGCTATATTGTAGAAGCATCAATAATCTATGACTGGTTAAGTCTATTATAACCCAGATAGATAGACTGAACAATTGTGTATTTCCCCAGCGCCATGTCATGATGTCGCCTTGGCGCCACTCGCATGCCAAGCATGCCAAGCGCCAGTGGCGTTTGTAGACCAAGGCCTGGCGCCAGTGACGACGTTATGACGAAAAAATATGATAACTATAGATTATAACTATAGATTATGATAACTATAGATTATGATAACTATAGATTATTGTAACTTGTATAGTTTATCAATTTATGATAACTATAGATACCTATGGATAGTATGCTTGGAATAGGACGACTTTTACAACTTTAGCAGCTTTAGTATGGTTGCAGAAGTTATGGATAAGTGTCAGAAGTTACAGTTCACTAGTTAGTCATATATTTAGTATATTTTGTGATATGTGTTCCTTGCATATGTAGTATCAACTGTGTCTTAGTAATCTGCACCTTACACATGCAAAACCAAGAAACAACTACAAGAAACTTTGAATACACAACTATAGTAGTCAGAAGTCATAGGAAGGGGTCCCACAGAACGCAAAAAAGGGTCCCACAGAACGCAACACATTCTGGGAAATTACAAACGGCATGAGGGGTTAAGCGGACCATTCCAAGGGTTGCTAGACTGAAAACAGTATGAACATGTTAAAACTATGATAGTTTATAATAAATTATATATATATATGATACAGTAATTAATTAGGGGTAGTTATAACAAGCTTTCACCTGCTATTGCTATGATAAGGGAAGGTTAAAGCAATAAGAACGGAGGTTCATAACCAACTGGCAATCGGCTACTGTAAGGTGTATAAGTATAAGCAACATCTCCCTCAACAAAAAACAGCAAACATATATATATATATATATATAAACATTGAGTTTATTAAATCAATGAGATTTGCTCGCTGGAAGTTGCCCCCCAAAGATTTATAGATTTTAGCAACCAACAGGGGATTATCCAGCAGATTCCAAGAACATTTCTGGGTAGTTCACTGGCAACATGCAACAATCAACGAGGGAATGACACGGAAATGGATGTATTCAAAATGGTATATTGATGTATATATATAATATAATATATTTATAAAATAATATATATAATATAATATAAAATAATATAATACAATATAATATAATATAATATAATAAATATATAAAATATAATATTATTTAAATATATAATATATATTTTATAATATACAATATATGATATATAATATATGATATATAGTATAATATGTATTAATATGCATATATATATATACAGTGTACTTTGATCTAAGTGTTATGTTTTCATCATGAGTATAGTCCTGCTGTTGATGCTGGCGACAACATGTCACTCACCGCTCGGAGCCCCAAGATCGGCCAGGCTGCACGGCTCTACCGGGTTAAGGTTCGTTCTCCATGGCTTACCCTCTGGTAATTTAACATAGCTATTGAACATGGCCATTTATAGTGGATTTTCCCATTGAAAATGGTGATTTTCCATAGTTATGTTATGTTAGTTTACCAGAGGGTATCCAATCTGAAATGGATCAATTGTCAGGGTGCAATTGGACAATTGTCAAACATTCAGGGCACTAGCACGAGTAAACCAAGCACGAGTAAACTGAGTAAACCAAACTTCTTTCGGAGAATCATGGATAATCCCACCACCAAATTGCATCTTGTAAAAACACTCCCACCTGCCTTCAGGGCCGCATTTTGAGACGTGAGGTTGGGCGTCAAGCCATAAGACCTTGCAGCTGGTGCCCGGCGAAGGCCGGGCAAAGTTGCGGTTGAAACATGTGGCTTCCCGGCTGTGGGTTTGTGATAGATCGAACTAGGGAACGATGGGTGTAACTAAACCGACCAACATGTAGGGCACCACCTTGGGAGATATTTACCAGCATTTGGATGTTTCTGTTGATGCAAATGTAGCTATTTAGCATGCAAACAGATCCCGAAAAAAAACATATAAACGTGATTCATCATCAAAAATACTAGGGATTCATGATTCATGCTTCATATTTGTTCGATCTTTTTGGGGCTGTAGCCAAAATAAACCCAAATTCTGATTCAAAAAGGCCAGGCAACAGAAACTATGGTTTAATTGGGGGTAACCCCAACTAACGCTAGTTTTACGAAGCTACGTCCTCATTTTACAGTGTTTTTTTGATTTTTCGTTTCTATCTTTTTGGTACTAGATGTCCCCATATTTGGTGGAACAAAAACCGATTCACCTATTCAATGACCATTTCAGGAACCTAAATTGGAGCTACCTACCATATATAAGGCCTATGTAAGGCCTAAATTTCAGGGGATATCCCCACAAAATATGGCCAAAAATATGGTACTAACGTACCTTCAATTTAGGATCCTGAAATTCCCATTGACCTATCAGAGCAAGGTTTATCAGAATATGACAGAATATGTTGATCTGGATCGGATCACCCTGCCCGAACTGGAACTGGGAACAAAAAGTTCCCAAATCTGTTTGCTGGTTGCCTCGCTGCATCTTTAGTAAATGCTATTTTGGCAATACCCCATTGTATCCTGCAAATACATATCTGGTTGGTGGATGACCTACCCCTCTGAAAAATATGAAAGTCAGTTGGGGTTACTATTCCCAATATATGGAAAGTCATAAAATTCCATGGTTCCAAACCACCAACCAGATATGATATCAGTACATGTATACATATATATATATATATATGTATATATATATATATGTATACATTGATTTTGGGCTACAAGAAAGACTCGAAAAAAAAACGGTACAAAACCTTAAACCTTTCAGGGTGATCCAATACATGCCACCAGGCGCCACGTGGGCCTTGGGTGGGTGGCGCTTTCATATTTGCGAGATTTGTCATTATATATGAAAAAAATGAAGGTTTAAACCATGATTTAACCATGAGAGAGATATATATATATATATGAATATATGATATATATATATATGATATTATATAATGAAGATTTAACCATGATTTATGTCTATGTATAGTCTTGTGTGCCTCCAAAAATGGGGATTTATCCATGATTTATCCATGAAGACGGATGATGTTAGCAGCGAAAACTGGGCGTATCAATGAGAAACGATGGTGAAAGTTGTGTATGAAATGGTATCTAAGATAAGGGGAATTGAATTATGGTTGAAACATCACTTAGATAAAGATCAACATCTTAGAAACATCAACTTTCCCTATATCAAATGTTATAAGTTGGTTGAAACATCAACTTCGTGTCTCCCAAGATCAAAGATGAAGCTGACACAAGTGATCCATCCTAGGTTGGAACCATCCATCAGGTTGAAAGAAACGATGTGGCTTGGAACATGACAATAAAATTTAGATACGTATTAAATGACAATAGTAACAATACAGTTTTAAATATAAAGTAACTCAAACATTAAATGATATATACATATAAAGTTATGATAGTAAAGTTTTAACTGGTCTTAATAAACATGTATAAACCACCGACCAACCGCTCGCGGCCTCGTGTTGTGCAGAATGACCTGGGAAGCTTCCCAGTGACCGGCCACCTACCGCAGCGAGAATTCGGGCATGACCATCAACACATCACAATATGAAAGTGCTGGCTTAGGTGTATATAGATATAATTATAGTTATACATATAGTTATAAATGATTATATATAATTATATAGATGTATGAATTATGATTATGCAGCATCTATATACACAACAGTATCTATGTATATAATATATATATATATAAATATAACAAATATGGTCAAATGAAATATAGCAGGTCCACCAACACTAGTAATATAACCAGTTGATGTTCATCACCGGGCTTCTAGTGATCAGCATCAGGTGCTCAAGGGACCTATGTTCAAAGTGGCTTGCTGATCTCAACCAAAGAAATATGATGATGAACAATACTGGTTGGTGGTTGAGCCACCTACCCCTCTGAAAAATCATGGAGTGAAAGTCAGTTGGGATGATGAAATTCCCAACTGAATGGAAAGTCATAAAAAATCCATGGTTCCAAACCACCAACCAGAAGAAGATGAACCAAACAGGCACCACAACATTGGGATATCGAACAGCAAACCTGGGAATCGCTAGTCGTGACGGATGATCTTCTCAGTAAAAATAACAAACAATGCTTTACAATGTGGACCCCCCAAACGATAGCTAAGTGTATTTTTATAACTTGGTGAATTCTAGGGTTATGGTGGGTATAACGAACTAGTATTCATCGGGTTTTCATAAACCAACAAACAAAACTATGGGGCCCCACATTGTACCAATCATTCACCAACGATTCACCATGTATCATCCACATCCGCATGGTTTCACGCCTCCAATGCCTGCCGTGAGGGGCCGTGAGGGGTAGAAGTTTGGCGTATTTCAGCCAATCCAAAATACTCCGATACCAAAAATGAATAAAGGTTAATTTCCGAATATACATATGTATATAATATAATAATAGTAATAATAATAGTAATAATAATATTAATAATAAAAAAATAATACATACAGTATATATATATATACATACAGTATATATATATTATATATTTATGGGCACTTAGTTGTAGCCATAATTGGAATTTACTGGAACTTAAATGGATATGGGTCACAAGCCTGGGACCCTGCAGTTCACCCAACATAGCTGGGATGTACAATATGAGTGTGCATTCCCCCAAATATGTTGCAATAGACTTTGATCTATTCCCACATATTCTAATACGGAAATGAATAAACATCATGATGTAGTGTTATCAGTTCAGTAGGGAAAGAACAATCAAAACAGAATCATCTTCTGTCAAGCATTGTCTGAACCTCCTAGATCGCAATGTTCAATGAAAATCATGTCCTAAACCAATGGATATCACTGGATTTAAGGGCAGCCTATATTTGGAAAATAAACAAATGGAAGTCATTCTGCATTCCAAAAAATGGAACTGTTAATACAAAGATGAAAGAAAACAACGCTGTCCCTGTCCTTTATGCTCTGCCGGCATGTATGGGCCTCGATGGGAAAAAACTACTGATATCCAAAAGTCCCTAATCCATCGGACACCATCAGAACTGGAGGTACACCTCTGAAATCAGATGATATGTCAAAAACCTCTGCAAATGTCACGTCAAAATTTCTCCCAGGGATTGAACGCGCACTTTAAAAGCAGTTGAATTGAATCCAAGATGCCACGCACTTCATGCCGATTTGAAGTTTAGATTGTAAATTCAGGTGCAGCGAGTTGAAAATCATGTCCAACAATGAAAGTCCAAAGGGGATTGTAGGTAAGTATTTGTTTTGACTCAGGGGCACCTGAATTGTGGCATGGTTGAAGATCTTGGACCATACCTGACCCAGACCGTGAATCTGGCACCATTGTATCCCCCCATTATATAACCACTATATACATCCCATTAAACAATACTATACCATACTATACCCTCTGGTAAAGTAACATAACTATGGAAAATCACATTTTTTTAATGAGTAAATCAACTATTTCAATGGCCATTTTCAATAGCTTTTATTGAAGGTAAATCCCGGTCCCAATCCCAACCACAACAGACTCGCCCCGCCGTCAAGCATGCGTTCTGCATGATGATGTCACGTCTCAAGCCACCTTAGCACGGGCGCAGCAAAAACGTGGAAGGCTCAACCAGAGCAATGGCTCAAGGTTTCATAATCAAGACACAACTGGTTACGTAGCCCCAGTTTCCATTAGTTACTTGGGGGTCCAGCCCCAGTTTCCACCGAATCATGGCAATACGCTGGATCCAGCTACTTATCCACCTATATTCCCATTATATTCCCAGTTAAGTTACGATTTTGTGGTTTCATCCCCATCAAAAACAATAGTTCACCAAGTTATAAGTCAACTACATCTTTATCATAAATCAGCATCCCAAGTTATAGTATAAGTCAACTTAGGTATCATAAATCAGCTGTAAATCCCATTGAATCACCATGTTTCCTGTTTAAATCACCATTTGCTGGAAGCTACCCGACACTTTAGCAGCACCGAGACTTGCACCCAGGCACCCCAAAGTTGCGCAACCGTGAAACGGGCGGCGTTGCCGGCCAGACGCCACCGTGACACGCCACCAAAACCTGTCAGATGGTTGTGGCTGGGGCGTCTTCTGAAAACTTAATGATGATGAAGATGGTGATGATGATGCTGATGCTGATGGTGATGGTGATGATGATGATGATGGTTGTGATGATGATGATGGTTGTGGTGATGATGATGGTTGTGGTGATGATGAAGGTTATGATTGTGATGATGATGATGATGATGATGATGATGATGATGATGCTGATGCTGATGATGATGGTAGTGGTAATAATGGTGATGATGCTGATGATGATGGTAGCGGCGATGATGGTGGTGGCAATGATGATGATGATGATGATGATGATGATGATGATGATGATAATGGTGATGATGATGATGAAGATGCTGATGCTGATGGTGATGATGATGATGATGATGGTTGTGATGATGATGATGGTTGTGGTGATGATGAAGGTTATGATTGTGATGATGATGATGATGATGATGCTGATGCTGATGATGATGGTAGTGGTAATAATGGTGATGATGCTGATGATGATGGTAGCGGTGATGATGGTGGTGGCGATGATGGTGATGATGATGATGATGATGAGGATGATGATGGTTGTGGTGATGATGATGGTGGTGGTGATGATGAAGATAGCGATTGTGATGATAATGGTGATGACGATGATGGTGACAATGATGGTGGTGATGATGACGATAGTGATTGTGATGATAACGGTGATGATGATGATGATGGTGATGATGATGATGATAGTGATGATGTTGGTAGTCGTGGTGATAATGATGGCCGTGGTGGTGATGTTGAAAATAGTGATTGTGATGACGATGATGATGATGAGGATGATGATGATGATAATGATTGTGATGATGATGATGATGGTGATGATGATGATGATAATGATTGTGATGATGATGATGATGGTGATGATGATGATGATGGTAATGATGATGGTAATGGTGATGGTGATGATGATGATGCTGATGATAATGATAATGATGGTGGTGGTGATGCTGATGGTGATGGTGATGATGTGATGATGATGGTGATGACGATGGTGCTGATGATGATGATGATGGTGGTGATGATGAAAATAGTGATTGTGATGATGATGATGATGATGATGTTGATGGTGATGGTGATGATGATGATGATCATAATTATAATGGTGATGATGCTGATGATGATGGTGATGATGATGATGATGCTAGTGGTGATGATGGTGGTGATGATGATAATGGTGGTGATGATGAAGAAAGTGTGATGATGATGATGATGATGACTATGCTGATGCTGCTGATGATGATGGTGGTGATGATGATGATGGTGGTGATGATGATGGTGGTTATGATGTTGGTGATGATGATGATGATGGTGGTGGTGATGATAATGGTGATGATGACGCTGATGATGACGACGATCATTGATAACGGTGATGGTGGTGATGATGCTGATGATGATGATGACGACGATCATTGATAACGGTGATGGTGGTGGTGATGCTGATGATGATTATTATGGTGATGGTTATACATACATACATACATACATACAGACACGCATACACACATATGCATACATGCATCCATACATCCATACATCCATACATCCGTACATCCATACATCCATACATACATACATCCATACATACATACATAAATTACATTACATTACATTACCATACATTACACTGCATTGCATTACATTACAATACAGTACATTACATTGCATTACATGACATTACATTACATTACATTAAATTTCATTACATTACATACATTACATCACATTACAGTACAGTACATTACATTACATTGCATACATTACATTACATTACATTACATTACATCCCATTCGATTCCATCCCATTCCATTTTATACATTACACACATACATACATACATACATGCATGCATGCATACATACATGCATGCATGCATGCATACATACATACTGTCTAAGTATGTATATGTAGCGATGTTTCACCATTGAACAAACAAAACACATGAACTCTTGCAACACAAAATGAACAAACGGATCAAACTCGCTATGTAAGTTGCTTCTCGATATGGTTGATAAATCAGCCGCAATCCTTTTTTTCAGCATCCCAGTGACTTGCTTCATGGGCTGCAACCATAAGGCGCAGCCTAACGCAGAAAGGATGATTCAACTTGATGTCAACATGGTTTTACTTGCTTCATGTGAACTACCCCGAAGGCCCGAAGCTAGAGCTATATGCTTTAAATGATCTAAATCTAAATCTTTAGGTCCTAGCCATTTCAGGTATTTCCCAAAGATATCAGGTTTTCCCGAAGATGGTGTGATTCGTATGGCCCAGGATCATCGGTGGTGACTTACTCGACCCATTGGATCATCGTCCCATTAAACACAGCTATGGATGGATCACCTTCCATCGATTTCCAGCAGCATCACATGTTAGATATGTTAGATGACCATTTTACGGGAGGTTTCCTAAAATGGGGGCACCCCCCAATCATTCAAAAAAAAGGACCGTGACGTATTGAATTGACACCTTGTTGAAATGTCGGGATACCCACCATTTTGGATCCAGGTGAGTAACCGTGCATCGCGGAGGATACCCATCGGTACCCCAGTCCATCGGTTCTTAGGGTGTTTTTCTATGTTTTTCTTATTGAAATTGCCACAAAAAAGCGGGCTATACGAATGACTTTCAGAGACACCCAAAGATTGTATGTTGCAATACTGTCCTTTTGGTAAAAATAGAGGGGCCGGTTTGGTATACCATCTATCATCGTTTACCTGTTGTTAAAGGGGTTTCTTCAAACCCCTCTATTAATCAACCAACCAATGGGAATTTGGGACATCTATGGTATGTTGTCGGTAATTTTTAGTTACATCCCACTACAGTAAATTCCGATGATATTCCCATCAAAAACCACGATGTTTTCCTGGTGAACTCCCGATGCTTGGTGAAAAACTACCTCGCCAACCATCAACAGGTCCAAGTGTCAGGTAATCAGAGTGTTGATCAAAATCACCTGGGCAGCAAATCAAAACTATTGGAAACGCTTGTGGGGTCGCAACTTATGACCAAAAGGGCTGAAACTATGAGACCTAACCATCAACAACAGGGGGAAAATTGAGTTTGGTTTTATTTGAACAAACCTACAAACATTGGATTTGTATGTTTTTCAACAAATATCACTGGCGGGTTGTTGCAGTATGTCTCCGTGGGGACTCAGCCACTGTCATCATACTTCATGGGCCACTCTGAGTCTCAAGGTATTGATGATGGCAGCATTTATGCTCACTTTGTGGTCGACTTGTAACTCCTCAAGAATTGATTGAATTGATTGAATTGATTGTTTCCTATTATTAGCTATTATATAGCATATAACGTAATATTTTTCTTGGGCAACTAATGGGTGTGATAGATCGGATTGTAATTCCCTGAAATCATATCGTCTGATTCTTGCTGGGCAACCCGTCTCGACATGTCTCGACCCCCGGTCGAATCATGGAAAATAATGGTCTGGAGAGAGGCTGAAAACCATGAAAAACGCTAGCTGATCACGAAAACATGTCTCTTCCTTGAGTTTTGGACACAAAGTCGTCAATAAATTCAGGATCTCTCCAAATTCTGCAAGACCTAGATGTCAGGAAGCCAGTATCTATATATCATTGGGATTTCACCAAGCCCCTCAGGTCACCCCGGCAATCTAGTTGGTTAGTAGGCCCCTCCTTGGAGGTTTCCTGACTACTTGGGCTACCCCTACACCATCCTAAATCCACTTGTAGATGTATACAAGCTATTGAGGATCCTCCATTTATCATGGTTTAATCATGGTTTATCCACTTGGAGGATCATGTCAATCATGGAGAGCAAGATTTTGCTCCTGGGTTCCCCTGGCCCCGGGTGGGTCACTGAGTTCCAAGACGTTCACTTTCATCCCCGCAGACATTGCTGTATCGAGGACTGACATGCTAGCCTTCCATTCCTGGACAACGGCGAGGAGCATTCAGGAAACATGGAGAGATTGTTTTTTTTAAGATCCAAACAACAATTAAGGCATGCACATGCAAAAACATATTTGTTTTGTTCGCTTCAGGTTTTACAATCTAAATTGATCTGAAATTCATCAGTAGGCTTAAGAAACAAACACGTGGTTTGAACCAACTCAAGAAACAAAGTCCAACAATGGAACTAAACTTGATTTCAACGATCAGCTAGTGCCAAATTATTCAGGTCATGACCATGTGACTTTACCAACAACGAAGCAATCCATTCAGATGCGCCCTGACCAACAAATTGACATTCAGTGCAGTTAAAGGAATGACATGGATTGCAACGGCTAGAAATGCCCCTTTACCTGGCATGATACTGTACTGCTACTCATGCCCAGTCCTCGATATTTCACAAGACAAACATGTTCAAACAACTCAAATTGCTGAACAACTCAAATGTACACCTACAATTAGCCAGTCAGTTCATCCATCATAGATGTATATATATATATAAATATATATATATATATAGACAGTAATGGTTGGATTGATGAAATATCACCAATCTGTACCAGTCGAAGCGTTTTCTGTCTCTCTCTCTCTCTATATACATACATTTCATCAACTTCTATGTGCTTGCTGTTTTCTATCTATATATATACAAAGTTTCTGTCTGTCTATACACATCTTTCTGTGGTGACCGGTTGGTCTTTCGTTGAATCCCCATGCCAGAAGATCATGATTTTCATGAAAAAACCCTGGAAAAGGGAAGGCAGCACCATAAAAAACCGTATCAAATCATGACTAACTTTGGGGGAATACCCCCTAATCAAATAATACTGGTTGGTGGTATACCTACCCCTCTGAAAAATATGAAAGTCAGTTGGGATGATGACATTCCCAACTCGATGGAAAAATACAACATGTTCCAAACCACCAACCAGAATAAACCATGGTTCTCATCAATACCACTGTTGGCACCAGATTTGGTGGTATCAATTGATATCGATCATCTGGAGATCCCCATGCAAAAATGATGACAGGAATTTCCCATTCACACCCTACGGAAGTTTGTGGCCATTTACATGACTGATCTCAAAACCAAAAAGCTTTGCCCGTAATTGCATTTTGGTGCTTTTAGCGTGCATGCATATATATATATATTATGATTCATATATGTGAAAAACAAACTCAAACACTAAGCTACTCAACCAGGGTTTCCCACTGAGTGAACAGAAACAACTGACTTCATCTCCCGACGAGTGATGCGATCATCCTGTGGCTACAGATGGCTGTGAAAAATTGGCTGTGGCAGATAGCCTCTGGTAAACTAATGGAGGTTTAATGGGTTTAATGGGTTTACTATGGTTTAATATGGTTTTATAGGGATGATAATGGGATAATAATGGGATAATAATGGGATAATACTGGGATATTGATGGATATACTCTCTGGTAAACTAACAGTTTGCTATTGAACATGGCCCATAGAAATAGTTGACTACCAGAGGGTAGATCAATCATACATGCGTATTGATGATATGTATACAACCAGATCATTGTACTCACTCATAGTTTATAAACGATCTATCTACTTATTTATGGTGACAAACTATGTATGTATATATATATATACAAATCCTCTGCTATTTGAAGAATAAACGATATGTAGATGATTTACCTATTTATTTCCATGGCAAACTCTTGTATTGCCAGAGGGTATATAGCTACAGACATATTGGGTACGGCTCGAAACTATGACGCTACTGTTCACCCCAAAATACCTCGGATTCAGACATGTTCATCCCAAAAAACATGGTACAATAGGTGTTAAGCCAAGTCCCAAACAATGATGTCAGTTAGAAACTAACATCGAAAACTATGGAGCACCACCTTGAGGCATCTGTGTATATATAATGATGTATATATATATATATATATATATACATATACGTATACATGCACATATACATATACGTACCTATACTATATAAATATAGAAATTCATATTATTTACATATAAAGAGATCGGTGGAAACACGGTGAATGAGATCCCCATCCTCGGCTTCTTTGCAGGTGTTCACGAAGGTGGCCACACTTCTCACCTTAGCTGTGGCGCTCTCCGACACGGGTGTCGTTGTGGTAATGGTCCAGTAATGGTTGTAAACCATTAATAACAAAGTAATGGTATTATGTTAGTAACCATTTTAATGGTTATTTTATGTGTTATCCCAATGGGGTTGCTGAAATCCATGATTGTCAAGTCTATGGTGGGTAAAACAAGTCGTTTGGCTTTCAAGGCATGTATATATGTATATATGAACGCCAAAAACAATAGACAAAAATGGACCAGTAAATAAAGTCCTACTAAAATTGTGACACATACGTGCATATATATATATAATAACTATATATCATATTTCTTTTGGGGGGTACTATACCTATGTGTGTAATATCCATTAATCATAGTTTCTCTACAGTACTTTAGTTTTGTGTATATATATATAAACATGTAAATATGTATACACCGAAATACACTGTATAAGTATATGTACGATCATGGGGATAGGGGATATCGGCCAATTGTCTGTAGGGAACGCAGACTTTCACAACTATGGCTGGGGAACATCATGCATTCTGGCGGATTGATATAAATAAGAATTGTAATGATTGGAAAACCAAATAAACAATGATAAAACAGGAATAATCGGAAAACAATATATATATATATATACCGTTACTGACCAAACCAACAAGCCTGATACCAATGTTGGTCAAAAACTCAAACAGGGATACCACGACGCAAATCGTGATACACCGCGCAGTAACTGACGAAACAGTCCAGCTGACGACCCCCCTAGAACTGAATTTATATGATGCTGCTGCCAGCTGCTGCTGTTGCAGATTCCTCCAGTCGCAACTTGAAATGATCAAGAGAGACATGTCTGTTCTCACTTTGTCACTTTCTTTAGAACCAAGGTATGTTGGCATCGATAGTTGCCATGCAGGCGTGGTTGCTCAATACTATTGACCCGTTCATACCCGTTCAATTCCGGACGCTGTTTTTGGCAACCCCCAGAAAGAGTCAGAAAGGTTAACAACATGGAATTTCCACGTTTCTTAACCTGTTCATCATGCAAAAAACTACCGTCCCTCTTGGTGAAGCGAATTTCTTTATACTTTAGAGAGTCTTTGGGATGCGACGATCGGCCTTCAGAATGACCAGGGGTTTGAGAAGATTGCATCCATATGGAAAAAAACACCTACAAGGTGTTACCCCCAAACGATAGCTAAGTTGGTGCAAATAACTTGGTTAAGTAAGGTTTATGGGGGATATCAATATAAAACCGTACTTCGATCTATAGTGCGCTTCAAAACTTTCTGCAGTAACAAACATGACTGGGGGAGTGGAGATGTGGCCACTGCCACGGTCTCTGCGCTCACGATGTGAGACCTGATGTATGGAGATGCCATCATTTAACCATTGTGACTTTCAATCTTATATATATATATGTATATATATATGTATATATATATATTTATTTATTTGTATGACTCTGGCACACTTTTATTTAAATATATATATATTGATATTGATATTTTCGGTGTTCAATCTTAATCAATCTTATGTACATACATATATATATATACACATAATCCTTCCCTCCCTACATGGGACCCAAAAATGACTAGATCCAGTATTCAATCTAGGTCTCAAAAGGGAGTATTTCATATGGGGGAGACGAGATGATGTATATGTGTGTATATATAATTCGACATACATACATATTAATAATGATTTCAGTGGCTAAACTCATGGGCAATCTTTGATACGTGCCAAAGAAAATGCTTGGTAGTATGTATCCCCCATCGATGACAAAACAATGGAGTCATTAAACGACCGAGCCAAAATATACCCAAAGGAAGCATTGGCTTTAGCCATACTAGACCTCCATCATTGTTCAGATAACAACTAATATGTTAGTCAGATATATTATATTATGCTATGTCTACATACGAGTATGTACATACATATGTATATATATATTGGTATTGTGAGAGAATCCAGTTGATGACACGACTTGCCACCTGAGGGACCTGACATCCACCTGAGGACCGTAGCATTGGCCAGCTGATCTGTTCTTGCCGTGGTGGCCGTATGGCTCAGATTGCAGGGAATCAATCGCCTGCCCGTCATTGCTGCCTCTTTTTGGCAGTCCTGGATTGTCCATTCACCGGTTTTACCAAGACAACAAATGATGGTGACAAATTCTCATTGAGAAGGTTGTAGGGAACTTTGCCAGACAGATAGCACCCCGGCCACAACTCTGTCACTTGAGCCTCCATGGCATCTTCTTGGGCTTGGATCACGTGCGTTGATGGACCCGAAGTCTCAACAGGATGTCCACTCTCCTGGATACAACACGTCATCAGCAAAGGAAAATCAACTGTACAAACCGGCTATTGTAGATAGTATATACTTCATTGGTCGGTTGCCAAAATGTTGGTTGCCATTGCCATTTGCCATTCATATTTAGTGCCTCCCGTGCCTCCTTGTTATGGTTATTGGCTTGAAACCCCACCTAGTAGCCTAAATATGGATACCCTCTGGTAAACATACAACTTGAGGCCGGGGGTGGATGACGAAAGCTAGCGGGGTAGGAGAAAGAAGGAAGGGAAGAGGTGAGTTGCGGAGGGACTGTCATCATCGTGTCGCGGCATTGTTCGTCCCAACGAGGATGCAACAATGATATATTGATATATGATATATAACAATGATATATATGGGGGAGGGGGCAGGGGGGGCCCTTTCGCGGGAAAAATCACGTGATGTCCTTGGGGAGCCCCGGAATACGTGCTAAAGCAAGAAGACTCTAGCGAGCTGACGCTAGCTTTCGTGATAATGACAATAATTGCCAATAATGATAAAATGTAATTGAATAACGATGATGATGATGATGATGATGATGATGATGAATGATGAATGATGAATGATGAATGATGAATGATGAATGATGAATGATGAATGATGAATGATGAATGATGAATGATGAATGATGAATGATGAATGATGAATGATGATGATGATGATGATGATGATGATGACTAGGATGATGATGATGATGATGATGATGACGATGATGATGACGATGACGATGACGATGACGAGGACGATGACGAGGACGACGACGACGACGACGACGACGATGATGATGATGATGATGACGAGGACGAGGACGATGGAGAGGACGATGACGATGATGATGACGATGATGATGACGATGATGATGACGATGATGATGATGATCGTGATGATGATGGTGATGGTGGTGGTGGTGGGGGAGGGGGGGGGCCCCTTTCGCGTGAAAAATCACGTGATGTCCTTGAGCAGCCCCCCCAATACTTGCTAAAGCAAGAAGACTCCAGCTAGCTGACGCTAGCTTTCGTGAAAAGCTGTAGAAAATGGCCATAGAAATAGTTGATTTACCTATTAATAGCTAGTGATTCTCCATAGTTTTTGGTAAACGTTTACCAGGCCGGGTACATCTGAAAAGAACCCAGCCATTAAGCTACCCAAATAGACCAAATGACCAACCAGCTGGTACTACCTTCCAGGTGATGGGCCAAGGGCCCCTGGTACCCGACTGGTACCCGACTGGTCATAGCTGGTTAATGGATGGTTATTTCGCAAAATATGGTAATTCCGACATAGGTAACTTGACCCATCCCCATATGTCATCCCAATCATTTTTTGGGTTTAACATACCCATGACATCCCCATTTTAGATACCTAGGGACCAATGTCATTCCGGTTAGATACCCATTGGCGTTCGAGCCAATAACTAGGTGTTTGAGGTGTCAAGAAACCAATTTTAAGTTGGCCTTCCTGGCGTTTGTTCTTCTCGTTTCAGAATTTTAATCCCCTGAGTACCGAGCTGTAGAGGCCAAGGCCGTCAAGGCTTCACGCCATTTCTTGACCTGGCCATGTTGTGGTTCATTACCACGGTCACTTCAAACAATGATACATGGTGGGTGAGTCTGAAAATGGGGTATACCCCCCAAATGGCAATTGTTTATAGGGAAAATAATGCACAGTCCGCACAGTCCCAGAGAAATGTCAATCACGGATTAGTAAACACGATAGTTTTCTTAAATAGGAGGTACCAAAACAAATAATGAACATGCGGTACTGAATGGTACCTCACTACGTGAAACAGCCCAAGGGGTTGTTTTGACTTTATTTATTTATATATATATATGTACACACATATCCAAAAATAACATAATTCAAAACCTGGGTTGATGCTGAGAGGATTTCCAGAAGGTCCAATTACAGTATCACATAGCTTCAATTAGAACAGGTATAGCAAATTCACATGATGCTCCATATCTTTGGTCGTTGAATCAACATGTGAAATCAAAAAAATCCCAAAGTTGTGTCCCATGTTTTCGTATGTTTTTGTTTTTTAATCTCATTAAAGTCAATGTTTTCTTGGTGAATGTCCAATTGAAATCAATTTAAATCAGATGTTTTCTTCCTTAAACCCTAGACAAACACCATTTTTTTTGGTTATCCTCTGGTAATTTAACCGTTTGCTATTGAAAATGGCCCATTGAAATATGTGATTCACCGAACTTAAAGACGGTGATTTTCCAGTTCCCAAAGTGTGAGAAAATCACCAGTTTTTAAGGGTGAAGACTTGACCGCGGGCCGCGCCTGACCATAGGAGTTCATGACCAAGTTGGGGCTCACCTGGACGATAGCTATGAAAAAATATGGACCATATTGTTGTTGCTGATTTAGCTATATAAACATTGTGATTTAGCCCTTTCAAACACGGTCCATTATCTATATAAACATGGTGATTTAGCTTTATAAACATGGTGATTTAGCTATATAAACATTGTGATTTAGCTATGAAACATGCTCCATTATCTATATAAACATGGTGATTTAGCGTTATAAACATTGTGTTTTAGCTATATAAACATTGTGATTTAGCTATGAAACTTGGTCCACTATCTATATATAAACATGGTGATTTAGCTTTATAAACATGGTGGTTTAGCTATATAAACATTGTGATTTAGCTATGAAACATGGTCCATTATCTATATAAACATGGTGATTTAGCTTTAGAAACATGGTGTTTTACTTATATAAACATGGTGATTTAGCTATGAAACATGATCCACTATCTATATATAAACATGGATTTAGCTTTATAGACATGGTGATTTAGCTATATTGTAAACATGGTCATTTACCTATGTTGTAAAGCAATTCTTGTTGTAATTAGGATATATCCAACAATTCGGATCTATGATTGGTATTATTCCTAAAAATGTCCAACACTTATTAGCATCAAGCAGGATAATTATAGCAATTAGGATATATGATCCTGCTATATCGCCATGATATATCCTATAATTATGTGCTGGGGATGTCATAAATGACATCATGACATCGATAACCCCTTGACCCCTTGATTCGGATTCTAAAGTGGCTGGACATGGTTATATTCATACCAAAGAACTTATGGATAATTGCCAAACATATCAACAGCACTGGCATAGCTATCCTAAGGTCCTACATTATATGGGATATTATTGGATAATACGGAGGCCATTTAAACTATACCAACATTGATGATAACTCATAGGATAGTTGGATAATCACTTTAACAACAACTACTATTCCAACAATTTCGGGATAAGGAGGAGGACACTTATCCTACCATTATGGGTATAACGTGCGGAATATGCTAATTTAATACATGTTGATATAACCAAACCAAAATAAGTCATAATGCATAAACAAATCAATTATATTTGTATGTGTACAAGCAACTGTTATGGACCATATATTACATATATACGTACATACATACATCCATGCATGCATACATTACATTCCATTACATTGCATTACATAACATTACACATCACTTTTGACATACTCTCCCTTCTTACCTATCAATCATGTCGAGGTCGGTGAGTGAGGTTGCTAAAACATCTATGAAATCGCAAGGAGGTGTTCCATAGTCAGCTTGGTTAGTGTTTAAGATTGATTTTATGGTAGATATATCTATGCATATCTATACTGAACAGAGGTTGTTAGTCAACAAAAAATCACTGAGCAGTATTCAAAAGCCTTGTTGATTCGACAGTGTACTCTCCAATATCTTGAGGATTATCACAATCCATACAGGATGCCCCCCCCCAGTGATGTTTGTTGGCTTATAAACCCCATTAACATCCATTAACTATACTTACTATAGTTATATATATATATATAGTTATATCTAGTTATGAACTATAGATATATCACCTATAAACCATAGTTGAGCCACTTATTTGCACCAACCAATCGCGATTTAGCTCACTGGGGCCCCTGAACCAGTAGGAGATCCCCCCTTAGCCACTGAAGAGACCGTTCCAAAATGTCCCAGGCTCACCGTGTCACTACAGATTCCACGCTGCACACGACAAAGGGAGATCTGCAGCGCACATCGCCACTGCGCCCTGGTCATGGGGATGTCACCATCGTTCAAAATGGTGATATATACATTGTACCATATATGTCACCTTTTTTGAAACTGGTCATATAAATTAGTACCAGTTCAAAATGGTTATATAAATGGTTTATATATTTAGTTCCAAATTAATCAATATGTTTGTACCCCCTAATTCGAGAATCTCTGCAGCTTTGCAGCAAGAGGTGAACAATTACTACATGTTTAATCAATAGAAATATGAAGATTTAGCCAATAATACTGAAAGTATTCCCAACTCTGGGAAAAAGACTGATACTAAACTCAACCAGCTTTTACCCGGCCTCAAGGGATTGATTTCAATACGCGGAAACCATCCGAAACTTTTTTTTGCACTTACAGTAGATATCGCATAGAATGTACAAACAGTCCCTGATTGACAGCATCAATTCTGGTATAATGCAATTTCCGCTGGGGGAATTCCAACGAAGTCACGACGATCTCAATGTACACCACGAAATATGGCGAAATCCTCTGGTTTTGAAATTCTATTTGCCCGGATCCCATAATCAGGGTATAACCCAGATATAAATGACACAAACCCAAGTTCTACATAAGTGCTAACGCCCTACGAATTTTCGGATACACATCCAAGTAGGCACGCAAAAAAAAAGGTTCTGAATTCAACCATGATTTCCTGGGAATGATCACACGAAAAATACATATCCAGTACGGCCAGTTTGAAATTTTGAAAACAGGATAATTAGCCACCAGATCAATAGGTAGCAGCAAGTGCTAGCTACAAAATACTGGCCACGACTGTATCTCACCAGTCACAACAATCCTGAAGTCGAGAGAATATACCGTCCAAAAGGTTTGAAAATCATCTAAACATATCTGAACATTCAGAATGCATTTGTGGGATATCCATGGATATTTCAAGTCCGAGTCCAGGACCCTGTTTCTGGTGTTACTTGGACGACCTGTAAATCGCTGTGAAGTTAGTACCGTAGGCATTTAGTCAGTACAGCGTATTATCCGGTTCAGATATATACGTATATATATATATATATTATATATGCACATAAATACATATATATATGTATACACACCCATGTGCATATGTGTATGTTTTGATAGATACGATGAAGTGTAGAGCATGTTTAAAATATTTGTAGTTTTCTATCTGCTACCTTCTGGCAATCAATCAAGGGTACCTGGAAAATCCCCCAGTAGTTTCATGATTCTCTCTCCTTAAATGCCTGTTCTTGATAAGGATTTCCCAGCTAGCCCTGTTTGATGACAGCGGGGGCTAGTTTGTTCCTTCCCTACAAGGTGGTATGCTGCCACAATATTCAACCACAATTCCAGACATATCATGCTATATCAGTATAATTTCCGTGAAGATAGAAACCAACTGATGTTAATTACCCTCCGGTAAACTAACATAACTATGGAACATCACAATTTTTAACCGGAAAACTCACTAAAAATGGTCATTTTCAATAGCTATGTTAGCTTACCGGAGGGTAACACTAATGATGGGTTATCATTACCAACAATGGTGTTAACGCCACATCCCCGATGTTAGAAACCAACTGAGCCATCAGGCACCACCAGTGGTATCTCCATCCAACCAGGCCCCCCTAGGCCGCCCCTGGCGCCTTACAGCGGCTGTGGCGGCAGAGTTGAAGCTCACCACGTCTCGCTGCAGGGTGACCGTGTCCAAGACGATCTCGGATGGGTTTTAACTAACAATCCATGGCGAAAGATATGGAAATATATGAGAAATATATGGACATATGTTGGAAATATATGGAAACATATGGGAAATAATACTGGTCTATATTTATGGGAAATATATATGGGAATCATGGGCATACCCTCTGGGAATCAAACATTGCTTACTGGCCATTTAAGGATCGATTTCACAGGCTTTAGCCAACAACGCATGGAAATATATCGAAATAAACTGAGATATATATTATAACATAAATACGTGGGAATACCATATGGAAATACATGGGTATACCAAACCCAAAATAGTTGGAAAAGTAATTTTCCACTACTTTAATATGGTTTTATTGTTATATACATCTTTTTGGCACTACCACATTACCGGGGATATACTAAAATATCTTGGAATCTGGGAATATAAATGTATATATATATATATGTGTATGAATGTAAATAAATATATATATATATACACATACACATACAGTATGTATATATTTATACGCGCAACGCCTGGGCTTTGCCCAGGCGTTGCAGCGTAGAGGTTTCCCATTCCCAAACAAATTTTGATGCAACTTCACAAAATTCCTATGGGAAAGCAAAGGTACTAGGGAATATTAAACTCCCACCCCCGTTCAACTTTACATTCAATTGGGAAGATCAACAAAGGTACTAGGGCATTAAACTCCCACCCCCGTTAAACTTTACGTTCAAGTGGGTTTAATTCTCCCACCCCCGTGGGACTACTACATTCATTGAAGATCTTCAAAAAGGGTTTGTTGATGATGATGATAATGATGATGATGGTGATGATGATGATGATGATGATGATGCGTCGCCTGTCGTCATTGCGGGTCCGGGCAAAGCCCAGGCCGTATATATACATGTATGTTTATATATATATATATGTATATGTATATATATGTATATGTATATATATATATGTATATATATATATATGTGTATATATATATATGTGTATATGTATATGTATATATGGAAAAGAGGAAATATTACGACATATGGGTGTGTAATGGGCATAAATGTAAATAAATCACTAAAACAAAACATAAAATGGTCTGATGACTAATGTAGCAATGAACCATTTCAATGCCTGTTTGTGGCTTCTGGTTTCAAGTGTTTGTGTTATTCTTGTCGCAGTTGGAAACGTTGGAAACCAAATGGTCTCAGGAACAATATGAAACACTCAAAAGAGATTGGACATGAACCAAAGCAATTGAAAATTGAAGTAAATGCAACAGCAGCAAGGGAACGAAGACCAAAGAAAACATCCTATTTGCCCTACTCAATGCAGCTACCCAAATGGAAACCTCCTGACAAGTTGGAGGCTAATGATGCCACCAGCTTCCTCACCCCAGTTGCGAGGGCATCATGCCCCATGCTTAGCTAAGTTGGTATGTGGCTTCACAATTGGATTTATGGTAAGTGGAAGTAGATAGATACTTCAGTGGTTTATAATATATAATTATATATATATATATATTAAAAATAATACATATACATATTACATATATATATATACACATATCAAATCATATATATATGTATCTATAATATAATATATATATATATATATATATATAAAAACCAACTCGTACTTCTGGGGGGCAGATCGTTGTCCAAATCTCTTGCGACCGTACGAGACCCCCTGTGGCCTGCACATGGTGCAGCACGCGCAGGGCCTCCGACCGGAAATGGACTCCAGGTCAGGGCATTTAGCAGGATTTCATTCCTCTATGTACACAAAATACATCAACAACAAAACATATCTATATATATATAGATATAATAGATATATAACAGATATATGATAGATATATAACAGATATATGGTAGATATATAATAGATCTATAATAGATATATAACGGATATATGATGGATATGATATATACACACATATATATATATATATATTTATATTTATCAGGCATTCACAGATTTACTCATCACTTGATTGCCATTTGCACACTTAAATTCCCATATTTTTGTGTATTCACCCAGTTAAATCGGACATGGATCCAGTAAACAGCTAATCGTACTTGGGTCATAAGCCCTAACATGGCTGGCCATTTAGGTGAGCAAGGTGATGCCCATGAAATATCCTGGTCAAGCTATAAACCAACTTAGCGAAAAAGAAGAGGCAATACCTAAAATACCTCAGCTAAGTAGGTACATGATCAAAATTCTAGGGGCCCCATATCCCAACTGATGGGGGTTATAATATGTTATAATTAATCCTATAGTTATGTTCATTTTTGCATCCCGAACCGCACACAGAAACCACTGCACTATCATCAGCTTGTGCCACTGCCTGCTGCCACTGCGAAGCACGGCCCACAGCCGAAACCACTGCATTGAGGAAGGCGATGTCTCCTGGACGTTGGAATTCATCCAAACCGAGTTGGCATCCTATGGCTATGACTATCAAACTACTCGGCAACTACTCGTAGTAGCTCCTTGTCAAATACGGATACCCCGTGCTCCGAACCGCTCCCTGAATGAAGGATTTAACTCACATGGAGGTATAAAACCAAACCTTTTGTGCAGAATGCGCCGGATATAATGGAACGAACCACCTCCAGGTTGGTGACCGCATTTTCTTTTCAAGGCTTATATTCTGGCTTATTGACCATAAACAATCTAAGAATCTATTTAACCAGCATTAACCATCATTAACTCATCGATTGTTGGGGAGGTCACTGGCTTTGATGCAGCACCGACAGCTGCGAGTCGCAATGGCTCTGCTTCCAAGATACAACGACCATGGTACGAGTACCATGGATTGTTGCTCGATGCACATGATGCACATGTTGTATCTAAATGACTCTATACAAAATGGGTTCAAAACAGGTTTCCATGAGTAGGCCTATTTGTCTAGGTCACTAGGTGGTTTATCCAAGAATCCCATGATGTTCCAAGCAATTTTGTTTGTAAATCCTCCAGGCAAACGGTTGGTACAATCCATCATTGGCCATCAACTCTTCGCCAGCTTACGCAAGTGCTATCTCCAGTGAGTTTGTTCGTTCAATCTCTGGTTGGTGGTGCAATAACCATCTTGAAAAATATGAGTTCGTCAATGGGAAGGATTACTGTATCCCATATATTATGGAAATTAAAAATTGTTTGAAACCACCAACCAGCCATGAGTTCGTTTTTTCTTGTTCAATCATGTGAAGTCCCCCTAAAGAATGCTGCTTAAATCATCCATATTCAGAGTGGTTGAAACTTAGTTGAAGCCCATGATTTTCCCATGAACTGCGCGGGATTTCTTGAGCAATGTTCAAGACCATCTGTCATTGTTTTTGATGTACTGGTTGATTAAATTGTGTATTCAAAGGGCATGATGATAATCATCCCCAATATGTATACCTTAAGCCTCCATTTCCCAAAAAAAAGGAAAAACCGGATATGGAAAGTATCCCAACTTTTGGGGGCAAAGTCATCAACTTTGCCATGTCGGATTGCACAATCCTCGAATTAAGCATCGGCAAAAAAAATATCAACGACAAACGTCCGCATGTTTGATGATTCAAACCCTTACACTTGTGGTGGCTAAACTAAGTTACCATCACCCAAATTACCATAGACCCTGAAAATCACCATTTTTTGAACGGACTCATGGCAGGGTCTATGTGAGGGGTGTTCAAGAAACCCCGCGTCCTCTCTTTATATTGATATTCTCCCCAAAACCGCCCCCCCAACATTTTCTCATGACATGAGCACCCATTGGCCTGATAAATCCTATTGCAACCTGTCAAAGTTGCAGGTGCAGCCATCTGCAAAACCAGATCCCGTATGATGAGGAGCTCCTCGAAGCCATGCCACCATTGTGCAGAGTTGCCATCGAAGTAAACTGGTCAAAAGCGAACCAGTAAAATTGAAGATGGTGTCAATTTCGCAAGGAAAAAGGGGCCCAAGGCATCACCCCCACAGTCACACGAGGGTCAAAACCATGCAGTCTCATCTGGGGCTGCCCGACGAGCCGTGCGCTGGCGCTTGGCTCGTTGGATGTCCAGAGGTCTCATGTCGCAGAGCCTGGACCAGACCAGCGGCAGCATTGAGCGGCTCAGGATGCTGGAGCGTCTTTGTCCTCTTTGCCTGGAATTCTTATGCTCGAACTCTCGGGATCTGTGGCGCGTGATTTTTCTTTCTCGTTGCTATGATCCTGCAAGGATTGGGCTTCACTTGGGCGGTGAGACATTTGAAAGATTTTGAAGACGAAAACTGAAACAACTTTGGAATGTTTTTATGTTCTCCAGAAGAGAGGCATGCTAGATGCATGGCCAGGTTTTGGATCTGGTTTCAAGCACTTGTCAAAATTATTTTACCTCGAGTGATCCCCACCCTGACATATCATTCTGACATTTAAGGGTGCCCGGGGTACTCCTAAATCATCCATTTTATTTTCGGACTTTCCCTTATAAACCATCCATTTTAGGGCACCCCCAATTGAGGGAACCCCCATGTGGTAAATCCAAAGGAAACAAAGGACCCATCGAGAAATCTTGGAGCCCCTCCTGACTGCCGCACTTCTTCCAAGGTTTTTTGCCAGGACGAGGCTTTGCCAAAAGCGGTGATGGCATTGGTCCTCAGCCCAAGTTGTATGGGAAACGATGCTAGTTGTGTTGTTATATCCTAGATTCGATTAGATTATGTATGTATGTATTTCGAAGAAAATTTAGAAATCAAACTTCCGACTATATGGACAGATGAAAAAGCAGAGGTGGGAAGAGTCAGAGAAGAGAAGAGAAGAAAGAAGATCAGAGAAGAGAAAGAGTCAAGCCAGAAGACAGAAGATGCAGGTGCACGAAAAGGTAGCCAAGTCGCGAAACACTGTGTTTTTCCAATGGTTTGTTCCTCCGGAGGGTCAAAAAGTAGGCTCGCTAAAGCGGCGGGTGCGGAGCCGTCGAGAGATGAAAAATTGCACGCCGTTGTGGCGCGAGGCACGTTTCGAAGTCAAAATGTACAAAGCACATCAAAGATCGTCAAAGCACCACATGTTCGTGCCACTTTTGGACGTTGAAGCGTCGTTTTGTGCGGCAGGCGCAAGGGATTCTCCACCCTGCCAAAAGTGAGCAAAACCTGCGGGTTTTGTAGCATGTCCAAAAACGATGGCAGGCGTGGGGCATTTGAAAGATGCATTTTCCGTGGCAGGCGCAGTACAAGAGACATGTTCATCAGAGATGTTAGGAGGTCAGAGCGCTGATTTCCTGAGAAGGGTTGCATTTTGGAACATCGGATCTTCTGGTTTGCTAAGATGATTTTGCGTGACAGGTGCAGCACTTCGTATGACCTGGCCTCACCTTTTCGTGGCATGCACGGTACTTTAAACAGATGGAATGGAAACACACAAAACGCATTGGTGCGAGGCCGTCAGCTCTGCACTCAACTTTCCATGTTTGAAGGAAGTCTCGCAGAATTGCTTCGTTTTTGATGCTATCAACTTCGATGATCGAAAATTGAGGAAGTCTCGCAAAATTGCTGCGTTTTTTCTGCTGTCAAGTTCAAAAGTTCAGGATGTCTCGCAGAATTGCTTCGTTTTTTGATGTTGTCAAGCACAAAGTGAGGAAGTCTCGCAGAATAGCTTCGTTTTCAACCTTGCAAATAGGCAGAAAGATAGATAGATAGACAACTACAACCACAACTACCACTACAACTACCACTACACTACACTCCTACTAAGTACAAACGCCAATAGGCTACGCTACACTACAGCTGCAAATGCAAATTCAACTGCAACTACAACTACACTACACTACACTACAACTGCAACTACAACTACAACTACAACCACACCAAACTACACTACATTACGCTACACTAGTTACACCACACCACAACTACACCTGCAACTACACTAATTACACTACATTACAACGACAACCCCACTACACTACGCTACAACTACAACTACAACTGCAACTGCACTACACCACACTACATCCAGCAGTTGTGGTGAGGTGACCACTGCAAACATTGCAACCGCTCCAAAAAACACAACTCCAACCACCTTTCGGTCCATCATCAGTGGATTCTCTATGCCATCCATGCATCACAAGAACTGACCTCTCCTATAATATAGTGTCCTATCCTTGAAACTTCCGCCACCGCCTTGTGCGGTACTACTGTTATAACATATATCATAGATGATTATAACATATATCATAGATGATTAAATATATATATATATATCATATCATTTGATTATATTTTAGATGAGTTGTTATCACGTGCATATCAGTTGTATTGTAGATGGGAATGATATTAGGATATTATATATTCGCATCATCTAACAAGAACCAAAGAACTGCTTTATCCAAAAGGAAAACTATCTTCCAGACCCAAGTTGGTGGTTCATGGTGGTTCCATCTCAATTTTAGGAAGTGTAGTTATTGGGATAATAATGACAATTATTGGGATATACATAGGAATGATGGGATAAATATTGGAATTATTTGGATAACGGGGTTCTGGATGGGTTTTAAAGATGGATATGGGGTAGTTAATGGGAATCTATGGTCCATTCACCTACACGACCGCGTTGCTGGTTCGATGTTCCCTGGGCTGCAGGGATGGAACAAAAATCATGGATCCAATCACTGTCTGAGAAGGTATGGCTAACCCCCTAAATCATACCCTAAACACTTCCTAAGAAGGTACTTGGATCCATAGGGAAAAAATCATGGAACCAGCTTTTGACCTTGGTATACCTTGTTGCTGTATCCACCAGCATTCCCTTCTACAGTTAACAAGGAATCGCTCATGCGACCCAAGGCTTCAATACGGAGTTGTAAGCTCCATCCATATCCAATCCCTACACACAAAAGGAGAGTGCAGGGTAGGGCTATAAACCATCCAAATTTACCAAACAAAGGTTGCCCATTGGGGTACAGTTGCGGCTCTTTACTAGTTTTAAGTCAGTTATGACCCCATTTATGGAAGGTATAACCCCAGTTATATCCATTTATGATTGGTATTTCGGGCTTTTGACTGTCAACAATGTTGACATCCACCAGCAATCCCAAAGCACTCAAAGCACGGCCTCCTCTTCAAGTTCAGATCCACTCCTGAAAAGCGAAGCCACGAGCCAAGGATTGTCCCATATTTTCCCATCTTTTCCCATTTTGATGTCTGGTCATTTTTGGAGTTTATTGGAAAATAGGGGAAACAAATCCAGCGGAATAATAACGAGTTCTCCCGATCTTTGATGGCCATAAACGGGGGCTATGCTAGCAATTTTCAGATCCGGTATCCCTTTGGATCTGTGGTCATTTTGGTGTTTGAAGTTCAGCAGTTCAGTGGTTGAAGTTCAGTTTCGGAGGTGGGTTTCCATTTTGGGGCGCTCAAGTGGATTGTGATAGATCATGATAAATCAATTCTTTTGTAGTAAGTCCAGCTCATGAGGGTATTTTGCATGGTCAACCTGAGCTCTCTCCCAACAAATGATCCGTTCTTTCGCTTAGCATGCAACCCTACAAGCGCAGTAAAGCATGAAACTGCTACAGAAATCCTCACCCTTCCGCCAGCATTTTTATAGCCAACTGCGCGTTTTTGGAAGAACCACGGTGATTCCTTTTTTGTGCCAGTGAACCAAATGGATAACCATAGTTTTGTAGGATTTTTCTCCTAACTCATGGAGCTTTATGTATTTTACCAGGTCAACCGACAATGGGGTAAAACTACACCAAATCCGCTAAGCTCTCAGCTCTTTTTGAACCAACGCTACAGAGTAGATCGATGACATATATTATACATGGTTTTACTGCAGGAGTTTTTACACCCCCCTCGGGCGAGCAGGGACGACTGCGGAGAACGAATAACCCAGAAGAGCATACCCTCGCGGGTAGCCAAATCTGTTTGTTTGGTTTTAATCATTTTTATGCAGTCTTTCAAAGGTCCCTTTAAAAAGCTCAAGCCCGTAAAACCCAGCGCAGCTATGCAAGGAAGGCACATTACCATGCCACATCCTGCGCTATGCTACAAAAGAAAATCATCGTCTACCTGCGGTTCCAATAGATCCAACGGCCGCCGGCCTCGTCACGGTAATACCAAGCCCCACGCCAGAAACTCCATTCTCGGCGTGCACCATAGTGATCACGATTCCAACTCCAAGAGGCATCCGGGCGACCGGAGCTTGCAGCCTTCGATGTGACTGTGCTTGCTGCTTTTGCAGTGGGCGGCGTCTCAGGCTCCAAGAATGGTCGTGCTCCTGCTTTGGATGTTGGTGGTTCGGGTGCAAGAAATGGTGCATTGTTGGGATCCATTGCGGCATCAGCGTGCGAGGCGTCTGCGCGAGCAGAGCTTGAGGCGGCTGTGTCATCATGTGCGGTGGCGGATGCATCAGCTTCGGCTTTGCGCTTTCGCTCAGTGGTGGGCGCGACCGTGGGGTCGGCCTTTTGACCTCCAGGACCTCCAGCCTTTGCAGCGGCGCTCTGCTTCTCTTTGCGTTCAAGGTTGCCCCGAACCAATGGAAGGTTTTCCTCATACAGCTTTTCGAGGAATTCAAGAGTGCCATCAAAAGGAACTTGGACGGTGCCCTTCCAGGTCAGCAGGCCACGGAATGCGCCACGACGGCCGATGTAGCTGACATATTCATCCTCTGTAAAAATGTGGCGGCCGAACATGAAACCCCAGACCTTCTTCCATGTTTTGCGGAACTCAACTGGGAAACCATCCACACCTCGAGGCTGGGACATGAAAATCAACTTTGATAAGCAGTTTTCATTTTGGGCATTGGCGGCGACGCCAGCCGAGATCTGAGCTTTGGTCCTTGGGGGATCGGGGAGGTTAGCGTATGCGAACATATCATCAAAGATACATTCCTGCAGGCCCTTCCCCTCACCGTGGATGCGGTCGCAAAAAGTGACGTCGCTGGCGAATCTGTCTTCCACGTCCTCGTAGCCCAGCGCTTTTGCACGTCGATGCCTATCGCGGCAGTCTTTGAGGACTGCTGATTCCACGGATGTGATTCCCCTGGGGCCCACTTCCCGGCGAAGAAGATCGGCTTGCACATCTGTCAAAGCCGTCAACAAGCTGCCGCTCATTTTCCCAAACATTCCGAACCCGGCGAGACTCTGCATTCGCCGTTCAAGGATGCGGGTCCTCCTCTTGGGTTTGTCGGCCTCTTTTGTTTCGCCACTTTCGTCCACTGGGAGTGGCTCATATCCACATGTAGTGCATGTCACTTGGCCACTGACGTACTCGACCTGGCAGAGGGGGCAGGAGCCCATGAAAGGTTCGCAGTACTTTGGTGCAATGTAAACACGGCGCGTCCTTGCGGGCGGCTGGTCAACTTGCATTGGGGCAGTGGCTGCATCATCAGTGGACGTGGCATCGGGTCGCCCCGTGCTGGTGTCATCCATTGGGTCGTCATTTGCATCATCTCGGGCAGTCAGGGTGACCGCTCTGGATTTCGGTGCTGAGGCTGATTCCGCGCCTGTCCATGAGCTGGGCTCGAGATTGCTCTCGGCGCGGGACCAAAGCACCTGTCCATCTTCTGAGATGCTGACCAGAAACTGCGGTGGGATGCGTTCTGAACACAAAATACCATCCATTTCTGTGCGACTAAAGATGACACCAGCTTCAACTGCT